GAAAGGAAACAGAGTTATAGCCCTTACATGGTTCTTGAAAGTGGAGCAATACTCATTTCTCTGTATTCTACTCCCCTGCTACAGACTTATCTTTTCATAAGAATACTGGCACTGAATCCCACTGGGGAGCGCTTTAGGACCTCATAAGAGGTCATCCAGAGCTTCCCACATAGGATTCAGTGCCCCCCACAATACACAGATGATGTTGACTATATCATACATGATAGGGCTAGTAAGCAAAGAATTGCACAGCTACTAAGTAGAGCTCCACATCAGGAAGTTGCTTATATCTTCCTTCCCTAAGTGTTCAATGGTTATGTCCATAAAAATGTGAACATTCACTTTGAGTTTGAATTTTGTCTATACTCTAGACAAAAGTACAAATTCAGGACTTCTGTTCATTTGAAATAATAGGGAATAAATTCATACTCACACCTGAAATAATTAAAAAAGACAAACTATATTAAATAATCATTTTCAAGTTACTGAAGATCGGGCAACCAAGCACAGTGATCTCTGAGAGATCTCTGAGAGACAGAAAACAAATGAGTTGAGCCTCTTATGATCTACTGCCTTAAGACAGTTTTGAGACCATGGCCCAGAGAAGGGGAATCCAGGTTAAGCCTGGGAGAGTCCCTAATTTGAGAAAATGGAGCTGAGAGTCCAGGGAAACTAGAATTTGCAGGAGAGACTACCAGAGAGGAGAAAGCTGCACAGAAAAAAACTACAGAAATCTGCAGAGAGCCCCCTTCAAGTAGTCATTGAAGTACTGTTTATAGTATATGCATATGAGCAGCCAAAGCCAAGGGGAAAACCCCCCTGAAAGGATTAGAAGAATATTAATAGGATAGAGCCTGGCACTCATACAGGGCTCGGGATAGTGCCTGATGCCACTAGCTAGACTGGAAAATCTCATAATTCATGTGGCATTGGGTCTGGTACTTGGAAAGATCCTGCTCAGTACTGGGAAATGAATGATTAGCCTTAGGATGAGCATGCTCTGGACCTGCCTAACAAACTAAAAGCAAAACTCAAAATGATCAAACTGTCTCCAAGTAACTTAACTGCATCTAGGAACACAGCACAAGAAGGAAATGCAAAAATAGTTAGCTGAGTGAAAGAAAGTAGAGCAAAAAATATATATATTCTCTGTGATTCCATTTAAGTCTAGAAATGCAAACCAGTCTGCAGTGATAGAAAGTAAAGCAGTATTTGCCTGGAGACAGAGGTCTGGAAAGGGCTAGACAGATTATAAAAGGAATGCAAAACTTGGGAGTGTGTCCATGTTCATTATCTTGATTGTGGTGATGGTTTCCAGGGTGTACATAATGTATATGGTGACCTGAGTGTATACATATGTCAGAATTTACCAAAGTGTATAGTTTATTTTTGTGTCAATTACAACTTAAAGCTGGTTTTAAAAATAGGAATTGATTTATAAGTTAATGTCAAAATAAGAAAAAAATCAACTCTCAATGGTTAGTCTGTGTGGTGGACATACAAACCAGTATACTGAAATGTTCCATGAAGAGACACTAAGAATATGATAGTTTAATAGGATGTTTTCTGAAAAGAAAATGTTATGAATACCTATAGGGTTAGGGACTTGAAGAAGATAGGATTGGAAAGCATTTAAGCAAGGACCATTTGAGACACTCTTGTCATTTACTTTCTGGTAAGTCAGTATTTGATGCTTCAGTGGAAAGTAATTTTCCCCTTCATTTTACCTTTCAGTGTTTCTTCTGCATGAAACCTTCCTGAGTATTAGGTAATAATTCAAGGGGGGTTTCACTGGCGCAGCTGTAACCAATTTGAGTCCAAAGCATAAACTTTCAGGTTCCATCTCTTACTATCCTTCTGAAAATGCCATTTATTCTTAGTCTGCCTAATCCCCATGGCTTGTTCTCCTCAGTCCTACACGCCTCCAAGCAATGAGTTCAAGATCAGCATGAAATTGGAAGCACAGGACCCTAGGAACACCACATCCACCTGTATTGCCACAGTCGTTGGACTGACAGGTGCTCGCCTCCGCCTTCGCCTTGATGGCAGCGACAACAAGAATGATTTCTGGCGGCTGGTTGACTCAGCTGAAATTCAGCCTATTGGGAACTGTGAGAAGAATGGGGGTATGCTGCAGCCCCCTCTGGGTGAGTAACTAGACTCAACCTCTCCCTAGCTAATTAGTTATCTTGGGTAAATAATTACATCCTACTATAGGATGTAATTGTACATCCCATTATAGGAAAACATAGGGTCCCCTGCCTATCCCTTCTTTTTCATATAGTCCAAAAGAAAAGGCCCACCTAAGATGAAATGAGCTGTAAAATCTGGACCTCTCCATTCTATGTTAACTTGTAATATCCAAGCTTCTCTCAAGCTCTCTTTTTTCTAACAAGAGACCACACCATTGGAGGGGAGGGTGTAGCTGCTGAGTGATAGAGTACAGGTTTAGCATGCATGAGGTCCTGGGTTCAATCCCCAGTACCTTCATTAAAATAAACAAACAGACAAACAAACAAACCCAATTACCTCCCCTCAAAAAACCAAAGAAACAAAGAAACTACACCTTTCATCCTTCTTTGCCAGTTCGCATTTACCCTGAGAGAAAGAATGGAAGGAGGTCCTGCCATTTAACTTGTCTCAAAAAATCATTGAGCTTTCACCAAATCCTATAGTGATAACAAAAGGTGAGAGAAAAATCTCTTGAGTAGAAAGGATGACTGTTATAAGAGTCTCTTAACTCCTTTCCCCTAAATTCTCACTTGGTCCTTGGAATTTTCTCACTTTGAATTAATTATTAAGTAAAATATATATTTTAAATTGATAAGCCCACTATATTTTTCTCAAGATTAGATTTACCTTTCTTTTTTGCCCCAATATACCTGAATGATTTAGCCCATTTCATCAGTTACTGTCAATCACTATCACAGTGAGTCTCAACAGAGGATGGAGAAAGATGGGCTATGGGCTATACCCTCAGGAGACTGTGCTAATAAATTAATTGAGCATTGGAGGACAGTATCATTTGAAACACCTCCTCAGGGGGTTATTGAACATTTCCCTCCATTAAAAAATTATTTGTAATGTGAAATTTCAAACATAAGGGACACACAAAAGTAGAAAAAATTAGCACAGTGAGTGTCCATGTATCCTTTATCCTTGATAGCCAATCTTGTTTTCTTTGTACCTGTGCACACTCCCTACCCATTCGTGCCCAATTGCCTAAACATAGTATAATTTTCTCACTAAGTATTTTGTATATACCTCTCATAGATAATATTTTAAAAACAGAATCATAATAACATTATCACATGTAAATAAACTAATGATAATTCCTTAATATCAACAAATATTTACTCAGTGTTTAAATTTTCCCTGTTGTCTGTCTGTCTGTCTATCTGTATTTCTCTCTCTTTCTCTCTCTCTTTATTACATTTTCTTTGAATTAGGATCCAAATAAGAGCAACATATTGCAGTTGGTTGATATGTCCCTTAAGTCTCTTAATCTATGGGTTCTCCTTCTCTCTCTTACCTTTTTCTTGCAATTTATTTGTTGAAAAACCTAAGTCATTCATCTTTAAAATTTCCCACAGTTAGATTTTGCTGATTGTGTCCCTGGTATCATTTAACATGTTTCTCTGTCCTCTCTTCCTAGAAATTGGGAACTAGATCTAGAGGCTTGATTAGGTTCAGGTTCAGTTTTTTTCATAAGAATATTTCATAGGTAGTGGTATTTACCTCTATGAAACATATATGGTCTGATTGTCTCTCATTTTATAATATAGCAGCCATTACTGCTTGCAGTCTAGATCAGGGGTTGATGAATTTTCTTAAAGAATCAGATAGTAAATATTTCAGGCTTATAGGCTATACCTTCTGTGTTGCAACTAGTCAGCTTTGTCCTTGTAATGTGAAAGTAGCCGTAGATAATAAATAAACAAATGGGCATGGCTTGTGTTCCAATAAAGCTTTATTTACAAAAACAGATGGCCAGTCTGCTGGCTATAGTTTGCTGATCTCTGATTAAGACTCATCAATTCACTATGGTTACAGCATGGGAAATTTTAATATTATCATTCTGTCCACATGAATTAAATGGAATATGTCTATTAAAATAAACTTTAATCAACTATTTGATTATCCTGAGATATGTTCATGCTGGAAAGACAGTTTAAATGCTTGATTATTTTTATTTACCAATTTTCAGAATAATAAATTGGAGAACCATCATCCTCCAGAATTATTTAAGAGTAGTGTTATTGTTGTTGCTGTTGCTTAGTATCATAAATACAAAGATTCATACATATTTGTTGTGTTTTACTCCATTGCATTAACTGCCTTTATTGATTCTTGTATTGTCCCATCTTTGGCCTCATAGGAGCCTCAACAAGTTGTCTCCTAACTCTTTATTATTTGATAGCTTTCTTGGATTTTTGACATTTCAGAATGTTCCAGGTTCATCTTTTACAATTCCTGTCCCAGATACAGAATCAGCTATTTCTTTTAGGTCCCTGGGCTCCTTTTAAGGGGAAATGGTATTTAGAGACCATAATCTGAGCACTAGAGTGCTCAATGCTACTGGTTTGGTCATTCTTTCTAGATCTTTTTCATATAGAGAGGTAGGAACTGCTTTTTAAAAAATTATTAAGAGTAAAAAAATCATTAGTTCATATTTATACTTCCTGCTAAAATTCAGGACAATGGCAGCTTTATTTACATCATCTTTACTGTCTTAAATCTGTATCTCCTTTATAACAAAACTCTCATTCTTCATGTCACTAACAAAATAACTCATTTACTTTATCCCACAATGCACATACAGAAGTCTCAGAATAACAATACCAATACTCTCACCATTATAATAACAGAAAGTGTTTGAGTTATTTGCATTTTTTTCTTACCCTCAAGGGAAGTAAAGTCAGTGTTATAAGTTAATTTGGATTAGTTTCTCTTGGCAGTGCCACCAACTTGATATAAATTCAGATTTATTTGCTTCATTTTATCTTTGATTTTTAGGGATTGCCTTTTTAATATTTTTCCTTTATAAATATATATATGATATACATCATTTTAAAGTAAAATCTATAAAATGAAGTATATTCAGAGAAATCGCCTTCACCTAATCCCTTTCTTCTGCCATAGGTAACCACTTTTTATAAATTTTATAGTTTATATTGCATTTTAAAAAAATAAGCAAAATATACACATGTGAGTGCATGTGTGTGTACATATATACATATGTATCCTCTGCCTTCTTATATAAATGACAGCATACTATACATACTTTTCTCAACCTTACATTTTTTACTTAACAGTGTGCCCTAAAGATGACTTCTTAGTAGTATGGAGATAGTCCTCATTCCTTTTTGTACCGTATTATTCTCAACCTACTTTATGAACCAGTGTTTAGAAGCATCTTGATAGGCTATTAAAAAAGACAAGTTCCCAGGGATAATGGTGACCGTCTAAATCAAAATCTTTCCATAAATTCTCCAGAAACATACAGATCAAAAAGAAAAGCAATCATCCACCTATAACTCATGCCTAAACATAACTAAGAATCAAGAATACCACAGATTTCAATAACATGTTGTCTACATGTTCAGGTATAAAGATCTGAAACTGCTAAAGCTAGCACCCACCTCATACCAAAATGAAGAGTTTTATGAAGGTAGAAACTACATTAAAAAGGGAGAGGGCCATGGGAGCCTAACAGCTAGAATCACCCCCAGAAAAAGATAATCCCATCCAAAGTGGGAAATACTGAAAGAGAGCTAAAAGCTACTTGATTAGAGCATTGTCTACTAGAGAATCAAAAGGAAGAGAGTGAATTAAAAGTGTGAGGGGCTAGAGATAGCATTCTAGGAAAGATAAACTACCTTTGTGGGAGAAGTTGAAGGAAAAGAAGGAAGCCAAGTAAGTTAGAGTTATGCAGGAACAAACGAGAATCATAAAATCAAAAAACATACTAGTCTTCCCAAACAGGCTCATCTACTAAAGAAACTGCATTTCACTATGCCAGCAGAAAACTCATGATTTAAGATCCCTTCCAAAATGGAACATCCTGTTTTTTTGCTAGCCCAGGAAAATATAAGACATTTCAAATGATTAGGAAACATCAGTTAACATCCATAAAAACTTCTACATGAAGAAAAACAGAAGTAGAGGATTATCATTTTAACTGCTGAAAATTCTACTGCCAAAACCAATGACTAACCAGAGGAAAACTGACTGTTGCATAACAACCCAACTTGAATTAAATAAATATTGACAGATATAAAAAAAATCTTGAATCATTAATTTTAGAAGTCAGACTAGAAATGCATAACAGACAGGAAGATGTGAAAATAGAACTTTACAAACTCAAGAAAAAAATTGAAGAAAAATAATCTCAATTGAAGACTCAATTTCAGGTGTCCATTGGGACAATAGATTCAATAGAAAATATAATAAGGGACATTGAGAAGAGAAATAAAAACAGCCAAGAGAATAGAAATAAGTATTAGAAAAGGTTCAAAAGTATCAAAATGGAACTCTTAGAAATAGAATATAAGAATTTAGTCAACAAAGATTCAATGTGTATATGTATATGCGTGTACATATATAATTAGAGTCCCTCAAGAAGATAAACAGAATTAGTACTTAAAATTGTAATGTAAGAAAATTTTCCAAAAATTAAAGAACATCAGAGCCTTCATATTGAAAGGACATACCTTATTCCTGAAATTGAGCTAGACTGGTCAGCTCTAAGATATATTCTAGTAAAATGATTACACCAGGTATAAAGAAAACTTCATCTAAGCCTCCGGCAAAAAGGCCAAATTACTTACAAAGGAAAGAAAATCAGGTTTACATCATACTTCTTAACAGCAAAATACAAAGCAAGATGAAATGGAGCAGAGTTTTTGAGAAATTCAAGGAAAGAAAATGAGAGGACCGATTTTATATTTAGACAAGCTGTTTTTTCAGGTATTGAGATTATACTGAAAGTTTTCAGCATGCAAGAACTCAGGAAATATTGTGACCTCAAGCCATTCCTAAGGAATCAATTATGGAAAGAGCTTCATCCAAACAGCAATAATCAATCTAAGATAAAAACAAAGGTAGAGACAAGAGTAGAATATTATGGTATCAATCCGGGTTCAAC